CAGAGGTGGCCAAGTCCCGCTGACAGCGCTGCTGAGAACAAAACTCACCTTCCCACCAGCAGGGCCTGTGGGGTGGACGTGTCGGCCCTTGAGGAGTCCAGGAAGGAGGGGCCAGGGCTGGGGCCGCTGTCCAGGAAGGCCGGCTCCAGGGGCTCCGTCAGGGTGCGGGGTGGCCCTGCCTGCACCGAGCTCTCTGTGCAGACCTCTGCCAGGCTCTTGGTCGACTGATTTCCCGTCTGTGGGAAGACAATGGCGAGACGTGGATTTGGTGTCCCAGCCCTGCCTTTTCAGGGGAAAGGAGGAGGCTGAAGGGAGGCCCACACTCCAGATGCTCCACAGAGGCTCGTGCCAGAGATGGCCTACGACGGCCCCAGAAGAAAAGTGACATTTTGCAAGGGGCACTTCAGAACGCTGGCATCATCGGAGCAGTTTGTTAGAAGAGGAGAGGCTGCCTGTACAACTCCATGACTCCTGAGCCAGCTTCCCATGATAGAGATGAGAAGACAGAGGCCCTTCCTGGGTGATGAGCTCTATTTATGAGCCCACACAGAATGTTCCCCAGGTTTCTGAAGAAAAGTCCCCAGGAAGGAATCGAGTTCATCGTCCATAGCCCTGGAGGGCTGAATGGCTGTGTTCACTGCTTCCCTTCTGGAATTCATTCAGCCCAGCGTGGTCCCAAAACAGGAATGCAGTGCCTGGAAAAATTCTGTGAGACAACACGTGCTCGAGAGATGGACAGAGCAGCGTGGGCCTGACTTGTGGGGTGAGCACGGCTCTGGCGATGCGATGGTGTGTAAGAGCTGGGGACAGGGTAGAGCGACAGCCAGCTAACGGCACAGGGGTCCTGGGCCGGGACTGACAATGAGGTGCAATGGCAGAATGGACCCCTGGCAGGAAATGCAGTGACTTCGTGTCTGTGTGCCCTTTGCCCTGCTCCCACCGACCTGCGGGCAGTGGCCTTGCATGTGGCAAGGCAGAGGCTGAGCAGAGGGATGTGACTGTCCTGGACCTGGGCACCAGATTTATGTGGGAACAGGACCATGGGCGAGCAGGTACCAAGCCCTGGAGGGGGGTCGTGAAGGTGTCATCTGGCCCCAAAGGCCCCCTGTGTCCTCCTGTCTGCCTGGGGACAGAGTCCCCTCTGCTCACACACCCTGCCCCTGAGCAGGCACCTGTTGGTATTGTGGGTCCCAGTGCCTGGTGCCGGGACATGGCACACAGGTGCCCAGTGAGCAGCTCCAGGCTCATGTCCTTTGGGGCCGTGCTTAGCAGCCGGCAGGAAGCACGAGGCTCTGGGTGACCACAGGTTGCACTGTTTTTAACACAGACAGCCGTGTGTTCCCCAAAGACAAACAGGTCTGTCACAGGCTTCTACCCAGGTAGATAGGAGGTGACTCTGGAGTCTGTGGACAAACACTGGGCACTGTCCTTCTTCTCCAAGCCAGCCCTGTCCTGGGCGGGAATGTGAGCGGCGCTCCAGCTCACAGCCTCCTGGCGCCTGGCCCTGTCCAGGAGAACCTTCCCATGAACTTATCCCCAAGTCCCTCTCACACTCATGACCTAGGGTGGGAGTGGTGCAGGGGACTCACAGTGGTGGCCAGGCCTAAATGGGCCTGTCCCGGACTCAGTGGCTCCGAGTGGCTGGTGGCCGAGCCTAGGGACACCTGTCCTGCGCTCCCTCTTGTCTCTGGGTGCCTGGGGGCCGGAGCTGCCGAGCCCTGCCCTGTGCTGCCCATGACAGTTGGGCGGTTCCTGGCGCGGGTGCTGAAGAATCTGGGCCGAGCGAACCATCCTCTCCCTCGTTCCCAAGTGGCTTTTCCACGCGGGGTCCTGAGGCTGGGGCTTCGAGGCCTGGGAAAGCAGCAGAGCATGTTGGCTGCACGCTGTCTCCAGCCAAGTGCCTGGGATGGCAGTTGTGGCTGGTGACCAGAGTTCTAAGTTCTGTTTGGACCTGTGGCCAAGGAAGTGAGGTCGGGTGTTGGGGTCCATAGCTGAGCCTCCCCTCTGAGAGGAAGACTTGGGTCCCTTTCTTCATAGTGGAAGAAGGCTGTGTGTTCCTTAGAAACAGCAAGTGAAAAGCTAGAAAAGCTGCCTGTGATTTTAGACTTCGTTGCACTTGGAATTGTTTATATAACAACTATGTAGATGCTTCAGTTGTGGCAGGTACAGAGCCAAGAGCACCTTTCCACCCGATTGGTCCAATTCAGGGTCATCACTTGGAGATCTGTCCTATTTTAGGAGGATTTTCTTTCCTGGGCCGATTTCAGTTGTATTTCAATTCCAAGGCGGTATATGGAAATACCGCCCATAATGCCCAGGATGATTTTCCTTAAAGAATCTAAAAGTTTCATCTTAGAAGCTCTGTCTATCCAGAAGAGGACTCATAGCAAGTTTTTAGTTTCAGGTGCACAAAATGTTTAATTATTCACACAAAGTTACTGAACTCAGTCACACACTGTAGTACTTGGTTCTGTGACATCCTGTGAGGAGGGACAGCAGGTGGGGAATGCAAGGTGAGGTCTTTGCAGGGCCGTGGGGATCATCACCGCATGCTGACCAAGGACACACTTCCCTGGGAAACTTTCTGGCGGCCTCTGCTAGCACTTCCTGTCCTCCCCTCCCAAGCAGTCCCTGTACGCCGTGTCCTGGCTGCACAGTTTTTCTTTTCGAGAGCTGATGGAGCTGAAGCCGTTCAGCAGCAGTGCTCTTTGCTGGGTGTTCTTCAAGCAGTATGCCCGTGCTGGGCTCCACCTGTGCTTTGCTGGGGGAGCCGTTGCACGCCATTGTGCGGCTGAACCCCGACTTGTTCATGCTCCCATCTGCTGATGGACACGGCTTCTGCTTCCGCGGTGGAATCTTAAAAGCGAAGATGCCGTGACCGCTCTCATGCATGTGTCTGTATGTAGATAGACTTTTATTCCAAGGGAAAAGCACTTGCAAGCCACACTGCTGCACGATATTGCTGGTGTGTGGCTGACTTAGAGATTATTAAAATATCTTTTGAAGCCCTTGTTTAAGGCAGAGTTGGGGGTTGCTTTTGTTTCTGTTTTGCTTTGGTGTGCTACATTTTGGTGAGGGCTTTGAATCCCTTTCCTGGTATTTTCAGTGTTCTGGTTTGATTTTGTATAATGAGCATGAGAAAATAGAAGAAAATTACATCAACCCACGTCGTTTTGTTTTGGAGAGAATTCAAAAAGGAAAGAAAAAACTCACCTATAATTTCAGGAATCAAAGCTTGGTGAGTTTTTCTTGCAAATGTACTTTCGCCAACACACCTGACATAGCGTTTACCATCACGTACACATTGGTCCACTGCCAGCTATTTGCATCGTTTCGAGGTTTGGTTTTTTTTTTTTTTTTTTGGTAACATTTTACCTGAGATAGCTGCAAATATGCCACTGAATACATCCTCTCAGGATCTGGAGATTTTAGTATGAAGAGACATCGATCATTCTTTTTGTACCTAAATTTGTGTTTAGTGCCAGCATTTGAACATGAGATTTCATTTTTGGAAAACACTTTCTTGTTTTATTCTAGTACAAATCAAGTATATGTGAATAAGGAGAATGTAAAAGGTGCTCTTCTTCTATGAAAAGATTGAATGTTTTATAGCAGAATAATTACAGAATTACAATGGTTAATACACTGTGCACAGTGATCTGAGGGATTCCTTAATGAGCTATGTTCCCATGCAGCTGTTTTTTCAGAGTTTTGGTGCATTTTAGATATACATGCACTTTAAGTTTTTTTTTAAAATTTTGAGACAAGGTCTAACTAATTCACTGAGTTTTCCAGGCTGAGTGTAAGCTTGAGATCCTTCTTCTTCAGCGTCCCAGAGTAGAAGTTTCAAATATCCTTATTTAGTAATTGACAGCGTATTCGTGGACTAAAATGTTTTGATCTTTAGATACTTTGTAGATTCAATCTAGTTAACGTATCTACCACTTTAGTAAATTACAGTTTCTTTCACAGTGAGTATTATTAAAGATTCCATTGTTGAGCAGTTTTGACAGATTCACTTCTTAGGTAATGGGATTACCATCCCGTTCAGGGAATCACTCAAACTTCCTTCTCCGTTGTGCCTGAGACTTTGTATCCTTTGAAGCACCTGAGACTTTGTATCCTTTGAAGCACCTCGTCCTTCTCCTCGTCGGTCATGGAATTTGATCATTTTTTGAAGTCAAATGCCTGGCAGACAAGTGCTTGTAACATTACTGTGGTTTGTGTTTCACAGTCAGTGAAAGAGTAGATGCAAGCCGGGCATCATGGTGCACCCTTGTAATCCCAGCACTCAACAGGCTGAGGCAGGAGGATTGTTGTGAGGTTGAGACCAGCCTAGCCTACAGAGTGAGCTCAAAGTCAGTCTGATCTGTATAGCAAGATCCTGTCTCAAAGAGACAAGACAAGACAAGAGAAAAAGAAAAGAAAAGAAACCTCATTGACTGAGCGAGGAATGGTGACAAATGCCTTGAATGCCTGCTCTCAGAAGGCCAAAGCAGCAGGTTCGCTGGGAATTCCATACACGTCTGCAATACACTCTGAGCTCAACTCCAACCATAACTACACAGGGAGACCCTGACCAAAGAGAAAAGACAGAGCAAGAAAAACAGACGCTCTCATAGCTGTATACTTTGGTTGTTAACTGGGCTGTTTGTTTTAACCTACCGGCCTGCTCTTGTTGCAGTACGAGACTGTTTTGATCGGTGTCACGTGACAATATACCTTGACATCGGGTATTTGGATACCTCTACCTGGGATCTTCTTTTCATAGCTATGGGGTGGCTCTTCCTAGTCTCATATGAATTTTCATATGGATTTTTCTCTTTCTAGGAAAAAGTCATTGATGTTTTGACAGGAATGGCACTGGAACCGCTGGTTGCTGGGGTGGCATGGACAGTATACCATGAATTCCTCCATCCATAATGGTGCTATGTGTTTCTTTCTCTTTGTGCCTTTTCATTCATGTCATCAATATTGTATTATTTTGAAGAATCAGAGGAATTTGGTTAAATTTTACCTAAGCTGTGTCTACAGCTTCCCTGAGGAGAGACTGATGAGTCTGAGAGAGAAAGGGTAGCAGGCAGAGGAGACATCCGGCTTGTGTCCTGACGGATCCTGCCTGCATGCATGCACCAGAGCCTGAGAGCAGATTCTGCCACAGCAGCGCTTGCACTGAGCATGCAGCCCGGCCTTCCTAGATATATAATGTTCAAGGCCTCAGCAGAGCCTCCTGGATTCGTGGTCCACAGAAACTCTGAGAGACCAGAGTTTTATCTCTTGTATCTGAGAGGCAAGGGTTTACCTGCCTTCTGTCGCTCAGGAGTTGTCATTGCTTACAAATGTATATAATGAGCATGCAGTGTGACCTCTTGCTTCTTTCACCGAGCACCATTATTTTGAGATTAACCTATAGTCTGTTTCTATGTTTGCTGAGTCGAATCCCATTGTATGGGTGGCAACCCATTGTTTGTTTATTCGTTCAGCTGTTTTTTTGATATTTAGCTTCTAGTTTTCATTTATGGAAAACAAAATTGTTGAGAATATTCTTATATGTCTCTCTTTTTTGTTTGTTTTTTTTTTTTTCTGGTACCGGGAATTAAACTCACAGCCTTGCGTTCATCAGGCAGGCACTATGTCGCTGGGCTAATTCCCCAGCCCCTTCTTGTATGTCTCTTTATGAGATAGGAGGATTGGGTGGGCAGAATCCTAAGATAGACGTTTTACTCTTAAACAAACTGCCAAAATGCTTAAGGAAGTGAATGTATCATTAACAAAGCAGAAGGGTTCTCATTCCTACACTTCCTCACCGATAGGGTTGTGTTTCAACTTTAAAAGATAAAGTCTGCTCCCAAAATGCTCTTCAAAAGATAAACAGTAGGCTGGCTATGGGGACACATGCCTGTAATCCCAGCACTTGGGAGGCTGAGGCAGGAGAATCACTGGGAGTTCTAGGTCAGCCTGTGCTACAAAGTGAGTTCAAGGCCAGGCTGAATTATATAGCAAAACCCTGTCTCAAAAAGACAATAAAGAAAGAAAGAAACAAACAAACAAACAGTAGTATCTCACTGTGGAACGAATTTTCACTTAGCTGATAACTGATTATAGTCAGAAAAATGTATGTCCTTGTTCGAAGTCTGAATGTATTCCATGCTGAAGTATCTTTTCAAATCCCATTGCCTGTGATGGACCTTTCTTCTGTTTCCGGGGTTTACCCTTAGAAGTGAAGCTGCTGTGACTGTTCTTATACATGTGTCTAATCTTTTAAAAAGTTGCTCATTGTTGTGGTTCCTACATCTTTTATGGCATAGAAAGAAGTGTTTCTCAGACGTGTGACTTCCAAGTATTTTATCCCAATCTGTGACTTGTCATTTCATTCTTGTAACAAGCTCTTTGCAGGGACATTCTTAAATTGGATGAAACCTAATTCATCATTTTTTGTGTTGTTATGGATAATGTTTATGAGTTGTCTCTTGGAAATTTCTACCTAACCTTTGAGAACCACAATTTTGTCCCGTAGAGATGTGTATTAGGGAACACTTTTGGGAAGATGGTGTATTGGTGAGCAGCAGAGAAGAAAAAAACAACTCTCCAAGATTTGGTGTCCAAACACTGAAATATAGCACTGTGAGGAAGCCCACAGGGAGAGTAAGAAAGAAATTTCAACAAAGAAGGAGGTGGCAGGCAGAGCTTTCTCCCTGAGCCCAGACTCACTGTGTGGGAGAGGTGACTTGAATGTGCAGACACACGGTGACTACTGGTGACCCCAGAGGCCTCCACCTGTGGAATGGAGCAGTGGACATAGCAGAATGCAACTGGCTGGTGAGTTATTTAGATTTAGGCCAGGAGGCAACTTGCAGAGGTGCCAACTGAGCTCAGAACAACTGCTAGCTCCCAGTTGTGTTCAAACCCACAGGAGGTACACACACTGCTGCAGGCTGGTCTGGTCCTAGCCTCACAGCCAGAAACCAGCCTGAAATTCAGTGGAAATAAATGTGCAGGCTCGCTGGGATTATCCACTACCATGCCATAAGTCTACAACCCAGATCTAGACTCAGTCTGCCCACATTGTCTACCAGTGACAGCAGAGACACACCTTAAATTGGACACTTTTGTCTTATTTTGTCTCTCTTTTCTAAGTGATTTTTATTTGTTTTCGTTTTTCTTCATTGTTTGTTCTTGTTTTTATGACTGTGAACACAGTTTCTAGTTTTGTTGTTCTGTTCTCTTCTTGTTTTTATTTCTTTTTTTTGTGTGTGTGTGTGTGTGTTTTCTTCTGGTACAGGGAATCAAACTCACGACCTTGCACTTGCCAGGCAAGCGCTGTGCTGCTGAGCTAAATCCCCAGCCCCTTGTTTTTATTTCTTCCATCTTTATTTTCCTCCTGTCTTCTTCACGTTTCCTAAATTTGTGCAATCTTCCTTTGTCCTCTAGCCTTGCATATAATCTCTTCTTCTTTTTCTATTTCTCTTTTTCCCCCCTAACCACTTTTACATTTTTCTCCTGAGGGCAAAATTGCCATATTGAGGGCTTATCTACTGCATACAATTTTCTGATTTGTTTTAGATTTTGTCAAGCAATCACAATCTAGCTGGGTGTGGTGGCACCCACGTGTAATCCCAGCACTCGGGAGGCTGAGGCAGGAGGATCACTGTGAGTTCAAGGCCAGCCTGAACTGCATAGTGAAATCCTATCTCAAAGACAAAAATAAACAAACAAAAAAACATGAACAGGAGACTAGGAGGGCTGGGGGTTGGAATAAAAAAGATCCCCGTTGGATCCTGCCATTCCCATGCACGCGCACATGTGTGTATTTTGTTTTTTTCATTTGTTTATCTCTTTATTTTTAAAAAAATTAATTAAGTTTATTGGTACATTTGAGGTATATATGATGATCACATTCACCATAGGGAGTTTGTACCTGTACATGGAATGTCTTCACTCTTTTTTGTTTTGTTCCAGAATCAAACTCAGGACCTTGTACTTGCCAGGCAGGCACTATGCCACTCAGCTACATCCCAGGACCCAATATTTTTATTCTTACTTTCCTATTCCCCTACCCTCCCTACAACCCCTCTTCCCCTCATTTACAAAAGCTGTTTCTATTTTCCCTCCTTTTCCTATTTTTTCTTTTCCCTTCTTTCCTTCCCCCTTCCCCCTCCTTAGTTCCCCTTCCCATTTGAACATTTTCTCCCTACTTTACAATTTCTATTATACATTTTGGCCCTTGTTGACTCTCAGTTTCTCACACCAGAGAAATAATGTGGTATTTACACCTGTGTGTCCAATTTATTTCACTTAAGAGTATGGTCTCAAGATGCATCCATTGAGCTAGAAATGTCTCAAACTTATCCTTCTTTATGGCTGAGAAGTACTCCATTGTGTAAAAGAATCACATCTTCTTTATCCATTTGTTGGTTGATGGGCATTTGGGTTGTGTCCAAGATTTGGCTCTTACAAACTGCTGCTATAAACATAGCTGTGCATATGCCACTGGGTACAATGCTTTTCAGTCTTTTGGGAAGATACTTAGAAGGGGAACAACTGGGTCAAATGGAACCTCTAGTCCTAGTTCTTTGAGGAATCTCCACATTGATTTCCACAGTGGATCCTGCCATTTCTGAGTAGTACAAGGAAGAGTGACCGGATGAGGACCTTGGGGTGCTCTGGTGCCTTGAGAAGTAGATGCCAACACCAGAGAGGCTTGCAGGATGGAACACAGAGGCATAGGAGGAGGTGGCATCTCCATCTTTGGGGACCCGTCCCCAACCTTGGACAGCGACTGGTAGCATCTCCAGGACGTTAACCTGGCTGCACCCCACAACCCAGCACTCCTATCTTTTTCTAGCTACAGCCTACAAAAGTCCTGATGCAGGGACACGGCATTCGTGTGAAAGACACTGGACCACAGTGCTAAGCATTGGGAAGGATCTCTGTGTCCCTCCATAGAAGAGCTTTTCATTGGCTCGAGTGAGACAGGGCTCAAACTCACTACGCAACCCGGGGTTGGTCTTGGACTCAGGCCAGCCTCAGCCTCTCCAGTAGAGCAATTATAGTTACGCAGCACCACACCCAGGGAGGATTATTCTGTAGCAGTTTCTAAGAGCCTTCTAAGGTAAATAGGGCAAAAACAAGTGACAACCACTGAGGAGGCTGAGGCAGGAGGATCACCATGAGCTACATAGCAAAACCCTGTCTCAAAATAAGACAAAAGGCATATGGAGTGCAATACCATTTATATAAAGCAAATCCCCACATGGTAAAAATATGCCGTTTTCTAGAAGTATATAGGTATGAATGTAAACACAGAGGCCTGATTGATATCACTTGCTGATATAATTGGAAAAGTGACACTTTACCCATTCATATCATTTATAAGAGAATTAACTCATTTAATTTGAATAAATTTTTAAAATTTAAGGAGACAATATAGGGCTCAAAACCAAGCCCAAGGAAAGTGGGGCCTAGGGTACAACAGGAAGAGCTGGTGAGTGCAGGACATCTGACTATGAGGCTTGGGGTAAAGGTGGAAGAGAGGTACAGGGAACACATGAGGCAGAGAGGCTCACGTTCAGAACTTTCATCTTTTTTTTTTCCCCCCCGGGTACCGGGAATCAAACTCACGACCTTGTGCTTGCCAGGCAGGCGCTGTGCCGCTGAGCTAATTCCCCAACCCTCATCTTTTTTTTTTTGAGACAGGATCTCACTATGTATCCCTGACTGGCCTTGATCTCTAAGAGATCCTCCTGCCTCAGCCTCCCAAGTGCTAGAATTACAAGTATGTACCAACACTTTTTTTTTTTTTTTTGGTTTTTCTCCGGTACCGGGAACCGAACTCACGACCTTGCGCTTGCCAGGCAGGCGCTTTTGCCGCTGAGCTAAATCCCCAGCCCCCTGCTGGCATTTTTAAAACACCTGTGAAACATATATTCCTCAATCAGAGGAAAGAGTAGTGCTCATTAGAGAATACTGAGACCTGAACAATAGCGAAATATACCACACGTGGTACAAGGAAGTTATGTTGGGATAGACATTTACAGCTTAGGTGCTTAGACGGGAGAATTTGGAGATGGATCAGCGATACGTAGGGGGCTGAGCAAATGCACTGAGACAACTGACTTCAGGGATGTCCAGGGCGGTGTAAGATAGGAAGGCAGTGGATGCCAGAGTCTCACAGATATGCCAGAAACACCAACCATCTGTTCTCTATACAAAGAAGCTCTCTGGGTGCAGATTTTAAAAATTCCTTCACCACTATCCTTTAGCACAGAGCCTGTAGAAGGTATTGAGTAAATTATTAAATGAATAAATCTAGCCAAAATTATGATGCAACTGCATCAGAGGATGGGGGGACAGAAAATGTACATGCGTTTGGTGGCAGTGGGATGAGTAAAACCCTTTTTCTGCAGCACTAGAAATCAAACCCCAGGCCTTGTATTCTGTCTACAACTGAATTACAACTCCAGTCCTAAAGTCCTTAAGCTTTACAGAGGAACAATAGGTAAGGCTAAAACTGAAAACTTTAGCAGCACTGTAGTTGGGCATGACGTGCACACCTATAACCCCAGCAGTCTGGGAGGCTGAGGCAGAAGGATTCCATGGTTTCTTTGTTTTGTTTGGTACCAGGAATCAAACTCAGGACCTCCCACTTGCCAGGCAAGCGCTGTGCTGTTGAGCTATAAACCCTGCCCAGGCCGGGTGTGGTGGCGCATGCCCTTATTCCCAGCACTCAGGAGGCTGAGGTAGGAGGATCATTGTGAGTTCGAGGCCAGCCTGGGCTCCAAAGTGAGCTCAAGGCCAGCCTAAACTGCATAGCGAGACCTTGTCTCAAAAAGACAAAGAAAATAAACAAATAAAAATAAACCTGGCCCAGGATTCCATGTCTGAGCTCAGCCTGGGCAACTTATTGACTTAGCAGGAGCCTGTCTCAGATGGCTGGGATGTACTTTAGTGCCAAAGCATTGGATACACGTGACTTAAAAAATATTAAGTCCATGATTTAGGATGATTGTCTCTGCAGCACTCAGGATTTAAGCAAAGAATTTGCACAGGCTCGAGAAATGCTCTACACAGAGCTACATTTCCAGTCCTGACTTACAATTATTTGACTTCTGATTTATTCACTTTTTTTTTTTTTTTGGTTTTTCTCCGGTACCGGGAACCGAACTCACGACCTTGCGCATGCCAGGCAGGCGCTGTGCCGCTGAGCTAAATCCCCAGCCTGATTTATTGACTTTATAATGGTGAAAAAGTTTACTCACCCCTCAAAAAAACCCCAGTTTTTGCATTCAGTACAGTATTCAATAAATTACAAGATACCGAACACTTAGTATAAAATAGGCTTTGTGTTAGGTGATTTTTCCAATGCAGTTTTCCGTGGCTAATATAGCCATGCTCAGCTGCTTCTAGGTTGGCAAGGGCCAAGCAATGAGCAAGGAGAGGAAAGTACTAGAAGCCCAGAGAAGGCAGGCAGAGATGGCTAGAAATCAAGCGTAACAATGCGGAAGTAGGACAAAGTAGTGCTTGTAAACCCAGCACTTGGGAGGCTGAGGCAGGAGGATCGCTGCAACCTGTAGGCCAGTTTGGGCTACTCAGTGAGATCCTGTCTCAAAAACACAAATAAACAAAAAACACAGTGGGGAGCTAAGGCCTTCCAGCACCCCAGACTCTGCAAGTCAGAGCAGAGAAAGAAAAGAGTGGGAAGGGAGAAAAGAGGGAGCGGAGAAAGTAGTTGGGAGCTGAGGAAGTGGCCTCAACGCTGCAGGTGGGGTGGGATGAGGGGGGTGAGGCAGCTACCCCTCTGTTCTGTAAAGGAGGAGTCCTCCCCAGCAAAGCCTCCCCTAGAAACCTCTGCACTCACCAGTACAAAAAGCTACAGGTTTATTAAATAAAAAGGAGGCAGAAGACAGATAAGGGAATAGCCAGAGCCCTCCTTTCCGCCTGCACAACCAGACACACGAGCAGACGCAGCTCAGTAAGCCGCGCAGACCCTCAGGGGGCAGACTGCAGGGCGGACGGAGGCAGCATCCTGCGGGAGTGGGCCCGGACCCAAGGGTGGGCTGCGACCTGGGCCAGGGGGAGCCGATCGGAGGGGTTGTGCTTGAGCAGCTTGGAGATGAGGTCCTGGGCCCCCGCGGGCACAGAAACGGGGAACTTGAGGTCCACCTGCGGGTGTAGAGAAGAAGCGGGGCTGCGTCTGTGTTGTTTTCCCGGAGCATCCATTGTGCTCACGGGCTCACGCGGGCTCTGTAACCCACTCTGGCCACCCCGGCCCCGCCTCTACAGCTGCTCAAGACCCGCAGGGCCTCTCACCTTGACGATGCGCCGGTAAGTCTCGTTGTGTGAGGCACTCTCGAAAGGGGGGTTGCCCACCAGCAGCTCATAGCAGAGCACCCCGATACACCACAGATCCACCTTCTCGTTGTGCGTGCGCCCCTCGATCATCTCTGGGGGGAGGTAGTCCAAGGTGCCGCACATTGTCTTCCTCCTGGGGAGATGAAGCGAGTGGGCAGAGGCCCCGGGGACGGCCTTCTCTTCCCTGCTGCCTGATAGCGGGCATGGGGGCGTTCCAACCTCAGAGACAGGGAGGGGTGAGGACATAAACCCAAGTCCCAGGGTGGCCTGCATGCTATCCCGGGCATCTCGATAGGACGATTGATAAACTAGGGGCACAGGTATACACTCGGAATCTCGGGCTGTGAGAGGATCACAGGTTAGGAGGCCAGCCTGGCAACTCAGCAAGAGCCCCGGTAAAATGATTTTAAAGAGCTGAGCCTGTGGCTCAGTGGTACAGCACTTGCCTAGTATGTGGGAGCCCCTGCATTCAATCCTTGATACTGGGGGGAAAAAGGGAAAAGGAAAAAAAAAAGTCATATGGAAGGGTAATGTTCGTCTTAGAATTTTTTGGGGGCAGGGGGTTTTGTTTTTTTGAGACAGAGTCTCTCTGTATAGTCCAGACTGGCCTTGAACTCACTACATGGCCCAGGCTGGTCTCAAACTCCTGCTGATCCTCCTGCCTCAGCCTCCTAAGTGCTGAGATTATAGATGTATTTGGACATTTTAGAACTATTTATTTATTTTTAAAATTTATTTATTTATTTTTTGGTACCAGGAATCAAACTCAGGATCCTGCGCTTGCCAGGGAGGCGCTATGCTGCTGAGCTATATTCCCAGCCCCTATTTATTTATTTTTGGTGGTTTTGTTTTTGTTTTTGTTTGGAGTTAGGATCTCTCTGTGTAGTTTAGGCTGGCTTTGAACTCACTATGTAGCCCAGGCTGGCCTCAAACTCACAGCAACCCTCCTGCCTCACCTCCAGAGTACTGGGATTAAACCCCAATGTCTCTGGAGACCCAGATTCGGAGGGGTTTTGTGTTGACCTGGATAGCCTTGCACAGGACTGGCTTCCTGGCCCACTGTACCTCAGGGAGGGAGCATGCACAGACCAGCCGAAGTCAGCGATCTTCAGCTCCCCCTGGAGCCCTAGGAGCAGATTCTCGGGCTTTATGTCTCTGTGAATCACCTTCTTCCCGTGGCAGTACATCAAAGCATCCGCCAGCTCCTCCATGATCTGGAGGACCAATACCAGGTAATCAGGCCGCCACTACAAGCAGTGTGGCCCCAGCTTCCAGCCCTCCCGGTGGTACCCTGAGTGCCCAGCCGCCCCGACCGTGGCTGTCCGCTGCTCGTCGAAGGTGCGACTCTTCTGCAGCTCCTTGTAGAGCTCCCCTCGGGGGGCATACTCTAGAATCAAGTAGATCCGCCGCCGGTCATAGAAATAGTTGTAGAGCCTCAGGATGTTGGGATGCCTGTGGGAAGAGACAGAGGATGCCTCAGGCAACATCCTCACATTAGGAAGCCAGGGAAGATGACAGGACCCGATGGGATGAACTGGGGTCAGAAGTAGACCAGGGCTGGGAGTCGTAAGGGGGAGTAGAGGTCAGCTGGCAGGGACTGAGAGGCAGGGGCTGCACGGGCCCCAGCTGTGCGGACAGCAGCCTGGGTATCCGGGTACACCGAGCTGAAGAGGAGGGCAGAGAGGGGCTCAGGTTTGGAGGCGACGCACGTACTGCAGGTGGGCCTGGATCTCAATCTCCCTCCGCAGCTGGTGCTCCACGCCCTCCTTCTCGATCTGAGACTTGAAGAGGACCTTGAGTGCCACGATGAAATGGCTTTTCTTCTCCCGAGCCAAGTACACATTTCCAAATTTGCCTTTGCCCAGGGGACGCCCAATTTCAAAGTCATCGATCGTGAGCGGCCGCCTGAGGAGGAAGGGGGCAGCTTAGTGCTGGCTGGTCAGTCCTCTCAGGTATCTGCTTTCACCCTGCTCTCCTGACCGTAGGCTTGGCCTCCCAGATTTCCTCTTTCTTCACCCTTCCCGCACCTGCTCTCCAGCCCCAGGCTTGGGCACTTACGTGAAGTTCGGCGCCCCATTGCTGTTCTCCACGACCTTCTGGCCAGGGACAGCTAAGGAAAGCACAGGTAAGCTGAGGTCCTCCACACTCGTGCCCTCCCGTCAGCCCTGTTCTCAACCCAGGTACCTGCGGGCTGGCCGTTGGAGCGGTTCATGAGGACAAGTGCGGACGGGGTGGTGGGCTCCTTCCACAGAACTCTCTGGGGCAGGGTGTTCAGGCCTGACTGAGACTGCGAAGAAGCAGGAGGTGGCTCTGAGGGTGCCTTTGTCCTGGTGACCAGGGTGGAATGTGCTGCAAGCAGCATTTCAGCAGCTTGGTAAAGAGCCATCCACCCTCCATTTCAAGAAAAATACTGATAAGCCACAGTTTGACTCCCCACCCCCAAGCTTCTGCTCAGTAAGGATTACTAAGGACAAAGGACTTGGCGCTACATGTCACACGTCACACTTCACCTCTGCTTTGGGCCCACACTACCTTCCCAGGCACGCAGCTGCTCAAGCCTTACCGCTCTGTCCCTATCACCACACTCATTCACCCAGCCCCTCACGCCAGGGGGCAGCGCACACTCACAATTCGAAGAGGTTAGCACAGTGGCATTCTCAAAGTCCCCTAAAAAGCTCAGGCCGTCAAAGGCTTGGTTAATGTCCTTAAGGCCTTGAAAGTGCCAAATCCTTGCCACTAGGCCAACAGGGATTTGCAGCCTTAAATGTCAAAGCAAATGCCAATGTTTATTTATTTATTTATTTATTTATTTTTATTTATTTTTTTTGTCTTTTTGAGACAGGGTCTTGCTATGCAGTTCAGGCTGGCCTTGAGCTCACTTTGTAGCCCAGGCTGGTCTCAAACTTGCAACGATCCTCCTGCCTCAGCCTCCCGGGTGCTGGGATTACAGGCATGCTCCACCACCCTCAGCAGTCAAACACCAATATTTAACACTTGGCAGCCAAAGACTTTAGGGATACCCAGGGCTACTCTGATGGCCTTGGGCTACTTGTTCACTTTCATCTTCTCAGGGTTAAGAGGCTCGATTCTTTTCAGGAGTGACCGAGGTAAAAGTGACGCTGGGTCCTCATTCAGATTCCCCTTGCCAGCCTCACTCAGCGCTCCATGACGGAGGGAGCTGAATAGGCAAGAAAACCAAGGGACTCCCGGGGGTGCCTACCCACTCCCAGGGGAGCGGTCTGTGCAGGGTCCCTTTCTTCAGCTAAGAGAAGAAAGCCCCAGGCCCTCTGAACACCTTTTCCCTGGGATTTGGAGATTGACACCAAACTAAACAAAATATAGTCCGGCCAGGTGTGCTGGTGCACCCCTGTAATCCCAGCACTCGGGAGGCTGAGGCAGGAGGATCATTGCAAATTTGAGACCAGTCTGGGTTACAAAGTGAGTTCAAGACTGGCCTGAACTGCATAGTGAGATCCTGTCTCAAGAAGACAAAAAAAAAAAAAAAAAAATACAGTCTAGAAAACATATGGAGGATTCTAATATATGTATATATAATAAAGGCATTGGCATTGCTGGGTGTGGTGGCACACACCTGCAATCCCAGCACTTGGGAGGCTGAGGCAAGAGAGTTACAATGAGTTGGAGGCCAGCCTGGCCTGTGAGTTCAAGGCCAGCCTGAACTACAAAGACCTGGTCTGAAAAAAATACATAAATAAAAATAAAAGCATTATTTCAAATCAGAGGGTAGACTATTCAACGGAAGGTGTTTTTATAACTGGGAAATATTACACCAGTTATTAAAATAAATTCTAGGGCTGGGAGTGTAGCCGTGTGGCAGAGCACTTACTTAGCATGCAGAGGCCTTAGGCTTGACCCCCTGCACCAAAACTAAATTCCAAATGATTAATTCAGATTTGTCCTGGACCTTTTCAGCAGTAACTTTATCTACATTCATCCAGAGTCTATTTCCTGCCAAGTTTATCTTCTCAGGGTAAGAGTTGGGAATCATGGCCTGAAGGCCAGACCCTGCTCAGGCCATTATATCATTTGTATGTGACAAATAGGCTCAGCCCTGCCGATGTTCTCCACAGCTGGAAGTCACTGTTCACATTGGTAGCATCGGCCAGGTGTGGTGGTGCGTGCCTGTAGTCCCAGCACTGGGAAGGCTGAGGCAGGAGGATCCTTGCCAGTTCAAGATCAGCCTGGGCTACAAGGTGAGCTCAAGGCCAGCCTGAAATGCATAGGCCAGAGACCATGTCCCAAAAAGACAACAAAACAAAACAAAACTAATTGGTATCATCTGACAGGATATGACTGCACAGGACCACACAGGGCTCTGTAGCAAACTGGGGCCCCCAGGTAAGAGCACGAGGGGAAGAACTGCCTTTCCTAGAAGAGGCGGGGCAAGTGGGAAGGGCCTTACCGGCTGCCGGCCATAGGGCCAGGGGTAGGCGTTCTCCTTCTGGGCCATCCTCAGAGAGAAAGGGGAGGAGAGCTGGGCGGAGAAGGGAAAGCGTTGTGAGAAGGAGAGAAAAACAAAAGAGGCCAAGAGGGAAAGAGAGGTCGGACCGATCTAACCGGAAGCGCTTTCCTGAGCGGGCGAAAGGGAGCAGGCCAGCCCTTCGGCCTCTGTCTGGGAGCCGCCGGGAGCTGGTCTCACCCCCCCGCCCCCGCCCTACTACCTGAACCACCCACTCCTAGGACACCCTCCCTCCACCCTTGAACGCGCAGCACACCGGTGGGGTGCGCGCGGACCAGCCAAACGGACCCCCGACTTGCCTGACCACCCGCGAATGGAGATCAGCTCACCTGGAGCCCGCGGCCCAGCTACTGCCCCGCTCCTGCTCACCTGCAAGCAGCCGAATTTGCCCGATCCCGTCCCTGCCGAGACACTTTCAAATCTCCCGCCCTGGTCCCATTGGCTGAACGCACCGCCCATGGCCAATCTTCATTGGCTGGCTGCGCTCGACGTCATCCCGGAGACCCAATAGAAGAGCAGGATGTGAACGGCCGCACGCTCGGTTCCGGCTTGGTAAAGTTTCCCAAAGTTTCCAGTCAATGTTTTCTTTTTAGAAACGTTAGTATGGCCAGAGTTTATCCTTATGCATGTATGAACTAGGGTTTATATTTGTTTTCTGCCAGATGGAGAGCAGTTGTGCGAAAGCCGTTTGTTAAGCTGCCTCTTTCTCGTCAGAATTTAAATGCTGTCCTTAATAAAGTCTCCCTAAATGGAACCGTCTTTTCGCTGTCTTGGAGGGACTCGCTCCAGAACTCCACGCATACCAAAATCCGTGGGTGCTCAAGTCCCTCGTATAAAACGGCATGGCATTTGCGTAAAACCTGCGCACACCCTCTCACATATTTTTTATTTTTTGTTTATTGTTTACCTCGCATATACTTTAAATCATGATCTTTCTAACATGTCAGGAATAGAATGTATGAATGGAATACACTTAAGACATCCAGTACGATATTCCTAGTCTTTAAATTCCCACCTGCACCTTATATCAAAAGATTTTTGACTTTTCAGAAATACTTGATGGGCTAGTATACGATTGGCATTTGCAGCTTTCAAAGAACAAAAACAAAAATCTATCACATCTCTCACATGCCTGCCCAGCTTAGTGAACAAACTGTTCTCTACTCTCGTTCTCGAATAATTTAACGAAATCGTGAATATTTTCGATCTACTACAAATTAATACTTTTTAAAAATACAATACAAGCTGGTTGTGTTAATGCACCCTGGGAAACCGAGGCAGGAGAACTGCAAAAGTTTGAGCCCAGCGTGGGTAACTCAGGGAGATTGTCTCAAAATGAAATTTTAAAAAGTGCTGTGGATGTAGCTTAGTGTGAAGGCCCTGGTTTGAATCCCCAGTATTACAAAAACAAAGCAATGCAAATATATTCCTTGGAAAATTAAATCGAAACAAATAAACAAAACTTACAAGGCCATATTTTTCTAATAGTCATATATATGAGTGCTCTGACAAATGCTATAAGAATTTTTATATACTTACTCTCAAATTTTACACTGTCCTGGGCCAATGTGGACCACACTTTTGAATGCCACTATCTATACCAGGAGCAATAAATACAGCTCTGTTCAAAATTATGTTCTGTTCTCCTGGATCAGGCATACTCAAAATCCACTCTTGTAAGTATACTTTATTCTTGTGTGACTACTATTTTGTTCTTCAAAGTTCTTTTGTTCTTGAAAGTACTAGAGACAGAACGTAGGGCCTCTGTACTGAGGGCATCCCCAGCCTCATTGTGCCCTTCACTGGTTGTTTTGTTTTGTTTCTCTTTACTTTTTTCCATTTTGTGCTCTTGTTTGTTTTGTTTTAGTTGATGGCTTTTTGTTTGGGACTGGGAATCAAACTCAGGAGTTTGCACTTGCCAGGCAGGCACTTGTGCCGCTGCGCTATATCCTTAGCCCTTTTCCTGTTCTGTTCTTTTTCTTTCTTTCTTTTTGAGACAGGGTCTCCTCTGTAGTTCAGGCTGGTCTTAAACTCACTGTGTAGCCTGGGCTGGCCTCGAACTCATAGCGATCCTCCTGCTGCAAATGCTAGGATTAAAGGGTGCGCCACTGCCTCACCCAGCTTTCTTTACTCTTGGTTTGACTTTCATCTCTTGGGCCACATTAGGTGTGGCTTCTACTGGCCAAGTAACAGTGAGAGGTGGCCATGAAGGATTGTCACTGTTCTGTAAAGGGCTGGTTGTTCACAGGACTGGGAAGGGACATAACTCTCTCGTGTTCTAAAGGTCAGAGTTACTAGATTTACTAAATGTTTGGGAGGTACAGATGTAGTTCTATTTTATCTATTCATTTAGACACAGGGGTCTGTCTATGATGCCCAGGCTGGCCTTGAATTCCTGGGCTCAAGTGATCTTCTTCCTTCCTCAGCCTTCTGAGTAGCTGGACTATAAGTATGTGGCACTGTGCCACAGTATCTTCTTTCTTTCTCTCCACTCTCCTCAACTTTTTGGTTTTTTCTTTTGGCACTGCTCAAGATTTAACCTAGGCCTTTGTGTATGCTATGCAGATGTTCTAGCTCTGAGCTCTGTCCCCATTTCTCTTTATCTGAGACAGTCTCACTGAGTTGCCCAGGTTGAGCTCAAACGTGGGATCCTCCTGCCTCAGCCTCCCAGGTAGCTGGGATTATAGATGTACACCACAACACTTGGCTCCTTTTGTTTCTGATGATGGAATATCCCAATAAGAAAAATTTGGCGGGGGGGTACTGGGAATCGGACTCAGGGCCTCTCACTTGCCAGGCAGGCGCTGCACCACTGAGCTACATCCCCAACCCCCCAATAAGGAAATCTGAAGACAAGAATTTTTGTCATCAACCAAAAGCCCCTTCCAGAAATGGTAGACTCCGAAGAGTCTTCAAGGTCCTTGCCAGCGGGGAGGTCTGGTCAATACCCCCATATTTCTCTACTAAGTTGTCTTCTTTCAGGTTCATGAAATGCTGCCACTGAGTGAAGTAAGAGGACTGGATAAGGCATTCCTATTCCATCCAGAGATCTGCTTAACCAGCCTCTCATTGAAGCATATCATTGCTGGGTAAATGATAAATTTTACGTTACATATATTTTAACATAAAAATTGTGCAGTTGCTTTTTAAAAAAAATAAAGGGGGAAAAGAACACACAAAATTTTCCAGGTGTAATGGTGTATGACTATAATCCCAGCAGTCTAGGAGGCTGAGGCAGGACAATTGCAGGTTAGAGCCCAGCCTGGGCAACTTAGTGACTTAGGGTAACCCTATCTCAAAACAAAAAAATAAAAAGGGCTGAGGATATAGCTCAATGCTAATGCTACTAGATTCAGTCTCCAGCACCACACACAAAAAAAACAAAACCCAAACACACATATAATTTATTGTATGTCTAGGACTTGGGAGTGTTACATTACATGAAATATCTTAACTATCGAATGTTCTTTTAAAAATTACCTGTATACATGCTATTGCATTAGTCAAACCTTAACAGGTCTTGTTATTTGTTTTGTTTTGTGTGTGATTTTTTTTTTTTGTTTTGTTTTTTTTCCTCCAGTACCAGGAACCGAACTCAGGACCTTGCACTTGCCAGGCAGGCGCTTTGCCACTGAGCTAAATCCCCAGCCCCTTGTTTTGTTTTTTCAAACAGGGTCTCACTATGTAGTTTAGGCTGGCCTTGAACTCAGTATGTAGCCCAGACTGGCCTCACACTCTTGACAATCCTCCTGCCTCGCCTCCTCAATACTGTTATTACAGGCATGTGCCATCACGCCTGCCCTGGTCTTGTTATTTTTGATTCTGTCTAACTCCCCAACACACATCGTGTTCTCTCTCACCCTCCCCAAGGGAAGGAATGGTCATTAGTGGCAAAAGGCAGTTGCAGCTAAGTGACACCATTGGCGCTTTGCTTCATACTTAAGAAGAAACACTGCCCCCCTCCGCCCTGCTTCGCAGTGCTCCACAAGTTCCGACAAACTTCTGTAGCAACAAACTGTATAAATGATCCCTGCAAGCATGGACTATAATTTTTCTTTCAGTGAAATAAGAGCCATACAGGTGAAACTCCAGGGTACAATTTGAAGAATTAGGCCTGGGTACATTGGTTCTCCACCTTTCCTCTGTTGTTTCCATGGACGGAACTGAGTCCTTGCAGAATTCCCAGGTGCAAGCCCTAGGCCCCAGAGTGTCTGGACTTTGAGACAGAGCCTCACTCAGTGAAGGTTAAACAAGCCCCACAAGGGTTGGGGCCTAATCCGGTGAAGCTAATGTGCTTAGGCGAGGAGCCGGAGATACCGGAGCCCAGTGCAGCGGCAAGGCCATGCAAGGACATGGGGAGAAGGAGGCCCCACACCTGTGGTCCCAGCTACTTTGGAGACCAAGGAGTGTTCCCTTATTTTGTTATTAATACATGTGTGTGTGTGTGTGTGTGTGTGTGTGTGTGCATGCGCACTAGGAAATGTGGACCAAAGGACAGAAAAGCGTCATTTTGCATCTTCTTATTAAAATAAGGAGTGTCAGCAGGGTGCTCTGGCTTGGGCGACCAGAGCTCCTAGGCTGTGTGGCCCTACTGAGTCATCAACAGATCTGCAGTTCCTGCGAGTGCAGCTTGGAGACCAGGGCCGTCCACTGTCTGCCTCCGTCTTGGTGCGAGAGACACAGGGACACACGAAGTCGGGGAGATGAGGTGGGCTCACCCCTGCTGGGCAGCTACTGCGTGGACAGAGGCAGGACAACCCCAGCCCCTGGCCAGCCACCTCAGCCTGCCACACTGACAGCTGCCAGTATCGAGTAGGGGAAAGATGTCAAGGGAGGACGTTTCCACTGGGAAAGACAAGGCCTCTCTGAGTGCGCTGGGGGGAGGGAGTAGGTGAAGGACAGCCTAGATTTCTTAGTATTTTTTTTCCATGTAGCGGAAGCAGCGAAAATGCCCGTGCTTCCAGGCTTCTAGTGGCTGCTGAGAAACCCGGTCAAAGGCAATGATTGTATTTAACACCTTTGCACCCCGCGGCAAGTTAATCAGGGACAACTAAATACACTTAAAATAATTTAGACTCTAATAATTCTGAATATAAGAAGCCAGCACTGGAAAAAAGTAATGAAAAAATAAAAAAGAAACAAGGATGGCTTGTTTTTGAAGGAGTCACACAGCTTCTCGTACGACAGTAAAGTAAAAAGTACAGCAAAGGAGAACTTCAGCTGGGAACCAAAGCTTCAGGAATTTATGTCATAGATCTAATTTAATAAGGACAAAAGAGATGCACAAACGATGTTCTTGGCAACATTTTAAACAGTTTACATAGTAAGAAAAAAATGCAGATTATCAGAAGACCAGAATGTCTATCCTTAGAAGAATTGTTTAATAATTTACAAAACTATCAAAAAATTTAGGTGGTCATTAAAATTATAATTTAGGATTTTAGAATTGTATTTCTGTTATACCATTGAGGAACATAAATAAATTGCCAGAGAAAAGTATTTTAGGATAATGATTATAAGTGACAGTTATTG